TAGCACATTTCTCCCTTTTGTCCTGAGTTCGAGGGTCTTCAAAGCCCATGACACCTTTGGTAAGTCTGTTCTCCAGTTGGAGCACCCACAGGCCAGTGTTTCCCACTTGTCGGTGTTTATACTACATTTTTTAAGATTTGCCCTGAGAGAGTCTTTAAACCTCTTTTGCTGACCACCGGCATTACGCTTTAAGTTCAGAATAGAGTAGTTGCTTTGGAAGGTGACAATCAGGCATCCGCACATCATGACCGGTTTAATGAAGTTGGACAAGTCACCTAAAGTGTGAAAGAATGAAAACCAGGCACCTCACAGAAACCAAACTCAGTTTCTCATTGTCGACACACATCCATGCCTTGAAAATGATATTGTGTCTCACCCCCCCCCCCCCAAAAAAAAGAAAGAAAGAAAGAAAAGGAAGGGAAAACTTCTTTGCAACAAAGGAAACTGGCTGCGCCTGTTGAGGACTGTTCATCTCGCTAAAGAGCTGCTCCTTCACTTCTGAGACGAGTAAGGCTGCTATAAAACCTCACTTAGCATGAAAGCCAAGCTTCTCCACACGTCTGTTAAAAGAAAACATTAAGCAGCGGCTGCCTGGGCTTGGGTATCATGAAGCATTACCATAGGAATGCCAGAGCCAAGGCCCTCTGTAAGCCGTCAAGAGAGCCTTGCTCTCAAACCTCGCATTGGGATATAAAATTATTAGCGCTCGTTTCTCCTCACACCCACTGCCCACACACGGCTAGAAATCACCTAGCGCTGCGTGACTGGAGTTTATTTATTTACTTTAATAAACAAGCAGCGGAGTCTGTAGAATGAGGCTATGGAAAAACATGCTAAATCGCTGCTTCGAGGGGACCTGTCAGTCAGCGTTTTCACGATATATATATGTCTGTCCTCTGTTTATTATTCAAGACAAAGACATTGAAAATAAATATCTGTCTCCAGGTGGAAGGTTTTTTTTTTTTTAATTTTCTTTTTTTGAAAACCAAGACATGACTCTTTGTAACTTATCAAGTGGAAGACAGCCTCATTTATGGGAACTATCCTGGGGAGACATTCAAAGTCCTTGATAACCAAACATTTGGATAAAGGAGAGTATTATTTGCATAGTCTTAAGGTGTGTCCATAATATACATTTAAAGCACTATGATACCGCGTTAAACAGTTATGGCTTCCACCAAAGAATTCTGGGAGCTGTAGTTGTTAGGAAGCCTCCTGTTCCCCTCACAGATTCCCTGTTTAGGGAAGTTTTTAATGTTTGATATTTTATCGCTTTATTATTACTATTATTATTAATATTCTGTTGAGAGTCGCCCAGAGTGGCTGGGGAAACCCAGCCAGATGGGTGGGGTATAAATAATAAATTATTATTATTATTTTAATCATTATTATAATTTCCAGAGTGTTTTAACAATCCCTGTTCAACTCTAGAGCATTTATGGCAGAATAAATCTCAGTCGGTATTTTACTACAAGATTGAAGGCAATGCTCCAGACACAAAATGCTGTTGTTTATCTCTCTCTCTGGCATCAAAGTGAGAAATAATTGCACTGGGGAAATTGTTATTTTAAAGAGAGCAGTGTGTGTGTGTGTGTGTGTGTGAGAGAGAGAGAGAGAGAGAGAGAGAGAGAGAGAGAGAGAGAATAGTGTGGTTATGGTGGAAGTTCAGGGACCCCACAAATGGCAGTGCAGAGTGTGGCAGATGATAGAAACCCCACTGCCAACTTGAGCATGTTGCTGCCCATCAAGGGCCATCTCTGGTTGCTGCAAGATCCTTTCACCTTTGAAGGTGACTCGGAAACTGCAATTAATCCAGAATGCGGCAGCTAGACTGGTGACTGGGAGTGGCTGCCGAGACCATATAACACCGGTCCTGAAAGACCTTCATTGGCTCCCAGTACGTTTCCAAGCACAATTCAAAGTGTCGGTGCTGACCTTTAAAGCCCTAAACGGCCTCGGTCCAGTATATCTGAAGGAGCGTCTCCACCCCCATCATCCAGCCTGAGGTCCAGCGCCGAGGGCCTTCTGGTGGTTCCCTTGCTGTGAGAAGTGAGGTTACAAGGAACCAGGCAGAGGGCCTTCTTGGGAGTGGCGCCTGCCCTGTGGAACGCCCTCCCATCAGGTGACAAGGCAATAAACAACTATTTTACTTTTAAAAGACACCTGAAGGCAGCCCTGTTTAGGGAAGTTTTTAATGTCTGATGCTGTATTGTTTTTGATATTTGGTTGGAAGCAGCCCAGAGTAAATGGGCGGGGTATAAATAATAAATTATTATTATTATTATTATTATTATTATTATTATTATTATTATTATTATTCAGTGGTACCTCGGGTTAAGAACTTAATTTGTTCTGGAGGTCTGTTCTTAACCTGAAACTGTTCTTAACCTGAAGCACCACTTTAGCTAATGGGGCCTCCTGCTGCCCCCACGCCACCGGAGCACGATTTCTGTTCTCATCCCGAAGCAAAGTTCTTAACCCGAGGTACTATTTCTGGGTTAGCGGAGTTTGTAACCTGAAGCGTCTGTAACCTGAAGCATCTGTAATCTGAGGTACCACTGTATTATCCCACTGTCAGTGGGAAGCTGGCCAGCCACATACATGGTTAGAGGTGCTCGTTTTATCTATTTTACTTTTAAAACACGTTCGTTTCTACAGCACACTGATGATCATTCCCAAGTAAATGTGCTTAGGAGCATCGTGCCAGAGGAAGCAAATCCCATTTCATTCCAATAGTCACAATGGTGCTGTGAATTAAGTGAGTTTTTCAAAAGGAGAAATTGCACATGCTCCGAATATTTCTTTAAAAAAATCAAAACAGGGAAGGCAATCTGCCTTTGCTTTAAAAAAAAAAATAGCAGAAGGGTGGGGAACTTGTGCCCCTCAAGATTCTGTTGGAGCGCGATTGGTTCGGCCACACCAGATGCAGAACTACTGGGCTGCCATAGCACTACGTCATTGAATGGAAGGTGAGAGGCAGGGATGCGCTGGATGTTGCCATTGCACAGGCTGTTGCTGAAATTTGAGATGTCAAGGTCCACCACTGGTCAGGGTTAATGGGAGTAGAGCCCATCAACATCAGAGTGGTCATAGGTTGCCCTTTCTCACTCCAGCACATCTGTAATGTAGAAGAAGTTGTAAAACAGAACTGGCCAGGATGAGAGGGCAAAGGGAGAAGAAAAATGTTAGCTGAAGTTCAAACAATACTTATGACCTGCTTGGGAAAGAGCCCATAAGACCACAATGTTTAGGGTCTAAAATTAACTAGCTGTACCACTGGAGAGAGAGAGAGAGAGAGGTTAAAAGACAGAACAACCTGGGTGGAAAATGTTTAATTACCCTAACGGCAGCCAGGCAACCTTCAGAATGCTGACCATGTTCTTACAATAATATTATATAGTATAAGATGTGACAAGAATAGGTCATATATTCGGGCTGTGCATCAAACTCCTAAAATGGGATGTCAGCAGAAAAAAAGAGCTTTTCGGGAGCTAAACAAATTGATGGTTTCTCTCCCGGCACCCTCCCCCCTCAGAAAAATCACTCTTTGTCTGGGGTATTTATTTATAAAAGTATTTATATACTGCTAAATCACAAACCACTTAGCCTGAAACGGGGCATGTTCCCATGTAAGGCACATTCTATATACATGATGAAACTTGAAATGGGGGCATGTATGCTCTTTGGATATGGGGACGCGGGTGGCGCGTCTAAACCACAGAGCCTAGGGCTTGCTGATCAGAAGGTCAGTGGTTCGAATCCTTGTGACGGGGTGAGCTCCAGTTGTTCGGTCCCGGCTCCTGCCAACCTAGCAATTCGAAAGCACGTCAAAGTGCAAGTAGATAAATAGGTACCGCTTCAGCGGGATAGTAAACGGCATTTCCGTGCACTGCTCTGGTTCACCAGAAGTGACTTAGTCATGCTGGCCACATGACCCAGAATCTGTCTGCGGACAAACACCGGCTCCCTCGGCCAGTAAAGCGAGATGAGCGCCGCAACCCCAGAGTCATCCGCGACTGGACAGGGGTTCCTTTACCTTTACCTATGTTCTTTGGAAATGGTACAGTCCCAGGGAAGACTGTACCATATATCCTTATCAGCATTTGAACCAGTTCTAAGTGGATAAGGAAAATGACATTGTGTTCCTTACTACAGTCTGTTCCTAGGGTGGGTCCTCACTGCAATTTCTTTCTCCTCCTCCATATGGCTACATCAAGACACCCACCTCAGTTCCGCCATCTTTGTTCCCTCCAATTGTTGTTGGACTACAGTTCCCTGATCACTCGTCATGTTGGCTGGGGCTGTTGGGAGTCTAGAAAGCCACAGGCTCCGAATCTTTGCCTTGAAGACAGTTTCTATCTTCCAGTTTTTTGGCTTCTGCAACTAGCTCTTACGCCAAAAACCCTGTCTCCCAGCAGTTCTTTCAAGGGGATGGCTACCTGCTTCCCTCAGGAAACTTGACATCTCTTCCTCCTCCTCAGGCCTGTTGGCATATCTGTGGGTCCCTTCTTACACGGAACATTTCCATGATTTTTTGTGTGTGTGTGGTTTTGTAGGCTAATGCGAAATGGGTTTGCTTGCTGAGCCAATTGTGCCACACTCTTCTTCACAGAAGGTCAGAGCAAAGCGACATTTTGCCAACTTTTCCGCAGCAACAGGATTTTGTAAACAAACAGCGGCAACTCACAGGCTTCTAGCGAAGCAGGAATCAAATATTTAGGGAATCCTCCGAGATGGGGGATGCGGACAGTTCCTAACCAACACTGCTGACATCTCTTTCAGTAGCATGACCAAAGCTTGCATTTTTGTTTCAAAATTTATAATTATTAGAATTAGGTCTATGGACCCCAGACACTTGTCTCTTTCCCCCTTCTGTGTCCCCTTCTGACACTGCCGTTGGTGCTTGCAGTACTTGAGAGCCAGCTTCTACAAATGAGGCGGCCATTCTCAGCTATGCAGACAAAGGGAGTGGTTCCCCTAGCAACAGGAACCATGTGGAGGTTCTCAGAAAGCTCTCGTTCTCCCGTTTTCTTTCGACTTAGTGCCTTTTGCACGGCATCTCTCGAACAGAGGAACTCGAAAACTGGGCATGAAACTGCAGCCAGCCTTTTTGAAAAACAACTTACTCTACCCAACAAACGGCACCAGCTTGAGAAGGCAGATGTTCTGCAGTCCAAGTGAGAGGAGGGGCGGAAAAAACCCTATGATGCTAGCTGGTAAGTAACCTAAGGAGTGCAACTCAGGTTGTTTAGAGAAAGGGAAAAGTTTGTGCCGCTATGGTACTGGATTCTGCACTCATTTTTTCTTTCTTTTTTGATAGCAGGGGGTTGGCACTGAGTTCTGTAATCATGAATGATGGTGGTGGTTTATCTCCATCACAGAGTTTGTTGTGCAGAAGCTCTGAAGTGGTGATTGCAGGGCTGAGCATCTGGGCTCGTACTATGTGGTCTCTAGCAAGTCAAAATCTTCTTTTGAATGCAGCTTCAGTTTTGCCGCCCGTCAACTTGGAACTGTATGTCACAAGGGTGTTGCTAATTACTGTATACTTCAAGGACTGCTACTGATTGTAGCATCGACATTTGCTCAAGCTGCAGTCCTGTGCATGCTTACCTGCTGGGAGTAATCTTCATGGAACGCAGTGGGGCACTACTGAGTTAATCCCACATAGAGTTATACCATCAGTGTAGCTTTTGAGATCAAGACCACTTGTGGCATGCAAAAACTGAAATTTTTGCATGTAGTTCAAAACGATTCAAAGCAACAAGGCAGGTTTAATTTCCATTTTTTTTTATTTTAAAAAAGTGTGTTTGTGTGTTTTACTTTGGGTGCTTATTATTTTGAAAGATAGGATCAAGGTCATATTGAGCATCTATTCCACAAAAATGAACTTGTGGAAATACAGTGAGCAATATTATGTGAATTATGCACCCATTATATAAAAATGAACTTGTGGAAATCCAGTGACAATCCAGTGGGAAGGAGAGATTTTCAAGTCACGTTCCTTTGATATTTTTGTTAGGATTTACCATGTGAATTTGGCTTCAGTTTCTTCTGCACCAGGCTATTAGAAGTGCGCTGGTGTTAACGTGCTCTCGCTGCAGCTCACTGTTATCAGATTTCTTGCCGTGCGAGAGTCCAAGGTAATGCAGCAAACATCTGGCTTCTTAAACAAAATGTACAGTGCCAAACTGATTCATAATGAAAATCCATGGGGTAGGTGGAAGGCTGCAGAAGGAAGTAAAGATGTTTTCTAGGCTGTTTGTTAGCAAAGAACCAGGCTTGGGCAAATAGCTTGGGATTCATGATAAGGACAACTTTGTAGATCAGGTCAACTGTCCTGCATGCAAAATGCTAAACTATTTGGCATCAGGAATGCAAGCCGAGGAAAATTGGATTTGGAACAGGTTGCTGTTTTGATTACTCCTGCCCTGAAGGGAGATGAGAGGCAGGAATATGGAACACTGCTGAGTTTGGAAAATGGGAAGGACTTGTTTTGAGGGATATATATTTAATGTCCTTTCAATATGATCCAGTTTTGAACCCCAGTTTTTGTTCCTTCTCACATCTACCTTTCTATGATTCCTCTCTTCCTCCCTTTCCCACCAAAACAACCATTTTTAAAAATCTTATCTTCTTTATAGTTTCCTTCACAGTTGTGAACCCTTTCCCCCAACCAATTCCAGGACCCTTAGGAAACTACAGTTCCCAAGATTCTTTGGGGGGGGAGTCATGTGATTTAAATGTATGATATACATGCAACCCATATCTCAACTTGCCTCATTATAGCAATAGTCCTGCAATATTTAGTTCCAGCTGCAAGCATTTATTCGGGCAACGCCCCCCCCCCAATCTCCCTGACACCTTATTTACTCTTGGCTTTTTGGTTAACAAGACCAGGCATTTTGTTTTAGAAGTTGTGTAAAATAATTTCCCGCAGCATGGGCACAAAGAGATTTCCAGTTAGCTACTTGTCAGCCAGGGACGTGGGTGGCACTGTGGGTTAAACCACTGAGCCTAGGGCTTGCTGATCGGAAGGTCGGTGGTTCAAATCCCCACGACGGGGTGAGCTCCCGTTGCTCGGTCCCTGCTCCTGCCAATCTAGCAGTTTGAAAGCACGTCAACGTGCAAGTAGATAAATAGGTACCACTCTGGCGGGAAGGTAAACGGCGTTTCCGTGCGCTGCTCTGGTTCGCCAGAAGTGGCTTAGTCATGCTGGCCACATGACCCGGAAGCTGCATGCCGGCTCCCTCAGCCTATAAAGCGAGATGTGCGCCGCAGCCTCAGAGTCGGCCACGACTGGACCTAATGGTCAGGGGTTCCTTTACCTTTACTTGTCAGCCAGTGATCCTTTAATCGCATTGTTGAATGGGTATGAATAATCTGCAGCAAAGAAATCTGCAGCAGCTCTGGGAAAAGGGCTCACTTGTCCCCCAGTTCCCCAAACTGGAATAGCAGCAGTTGTGGCGTCTTTCTCCTTTCCCTCTAGAGTGTGCCTTTGGGGTTCTGTGCCTGTGGGAGTGTGTAGGGAATTGACTTTGATAATGCCCACATTCTGTGGAGTCGGAACTATGGTTAGCAAGCCGAACTTCTCACAAAGTAACTATCCTGGGGCCCCAATAAGGAAATGTATTGCAGCACGAGCTTTCATGGAAAAGAGTCGATTCACCAGACAGATGAAGTGGACAGTGGAAGTTTTGGTTGTTAAAGTGAACGTGGGCTGAAGAAGACAGTTATGCAAGCAACGTTAAACAGTAAAGGAGCATAGCCTGAAAGCAGAGCAATCCTCTGTGAATCAGTAAAGCTGAAGGGAGCAAGAGACTCAATTGCATGGCACCAACAGGTCCACAGATGTTGATAATTCACATGTACCTAACCAATGAAGCCATCTACTGATCTGCAAGACAGAGCTGTTCCACCAGGCCTTTGGCCAAGGCACAGTCTGACCCCCTCCTTCTGTAATCCTCATAGAACTCTAGCCCAATGGTTGCCATTAATTTGATTCTAAAATCAATTCAGAATCAAATTAATGGCAACCATTGGGCTAGAGTTCTATGAGGATGTATTTCAATTAATTGTCTGTGATTTTATGTAAACTGTGCTATTTTTACTGTTGTTAGCCGTTCTGAGCCCGGCTTTGGCTGGGGAGGGTGGGATATAAATAAATTATTATTATTATTATTATTATTATTATTATTATCTGGGAGGTGCACCCCATGATCCTTTGCGGTCCCACATTGTGATGATGGGACTATTCTGGGGGGTGGGGTGGGGTGCCTTTTCCAGTCTTGGAGTGTGTTCCTGTTCAGGGTGGGAAGCTGAGCTCCTCAAGTTTAGAAGACTTAAAACCTTGCAGCCATACCTGACTATGTCTACTATAACCGAAGTCTCATTACAGGTCCTACGCGGGTGGCACTGTTGTCTAAACCACTGAGCTTCTTGGGCTTGCTGATCAGAGGGTTGGTGGTTCAAATCCCCGCAACAAGGTGAGCTCCCGTTGCTCTGTGCCAGCTCCTGCCAACCTAGCAGTTTGAAAGCACACCAGTGCAAGTAGATAAATAGGTACCGCTCCGGCGGGAAGGTAAATGGCGTATCCATCCGCTCTGGTTTCCATCATGGTGTCCCGTTGCGCCAGAAACAGTTTAGTCATGCTGGCCACATGACCTGGAAAGCTGTCTGTGGGCAAACATTGGCTCCCTCGGTCTGAAAGCGAGATGAACTCCACAAACCCCATAGTTGCCTTTGACTGGACTTAACCGACCAGGGTTTTTTTACCTTTTTACCTTTACAGGTCCTGCTGTTGAAAAAGGTAAAGGTAAAGGGACCCCTGACCATTAGGTCCAGTCGTGGCCGACACTGGGGTTGTGGCGCTCATCTCGCTTTATTGGCCGAGGGAGCTGGTGTTCAGCTTCCGGGTCATGTGGCCAGCATAATAATAATAATAATAATAATTTATTATTTATACCCTGCCCATCTGGCTGGGTTTCCCCAGCCACTCTGGGTGGCTTCCAACTGAATATTAAAAACAGTACAGCATCAGACATTAAAAACTTCCCTAAAGAGGGCTGCCTTCAGTTGTCTTTTAAAAGTAAAATAGTTGTTTATTGCCTTGACATCTGCCTGGTTCCCTGTAATCTTACTTCTCGCAATGAGGGAACCGCCAGAAGGGTTCATGATTAAGCCGCTTCTGGCGAACCAGAGCAGCGCATGGAAAGGCCATTTACCTTCCCGCCAGAGTGGTATCTATTTATCTACTTGCATTTGATGTGCTTTTGAAATGCTAGGTTGGCAGGAGCTGGGTCCAAGCAATGGGAGCTCACCCCATCGCAGGGATTCGAACCGCCGACCTTCTGATCGGCAAGTCCTAGGCTCTGTGGTTTAACCCACAGCGCCACCCATGTCCCCCTGCTGTTGAAAAAGCAGCACCTTAATGAGAGCAGAAGTGACCCTGCCTGAGGAGCTGTGGTACCTCTGGCCTTCCAAATGTTGTTGGATTCCAACTCCCATCAGCCCCAGCCAGTGTGGCCAATGGTCAGGTATGATGTGAGTTGTAGACCATCAACTTCTGGAGGGCCACACGTTACGGCATCCCTGATTTAAAGAGACGAGTGTTGAAACCTGGAACATGAGGGATGGATCAAGGGTGGAATATGCTAGCTCAGTCCTGGTTTCCAGCATAATAAACAACTGTTGAAGTTGCAGCATCTTGACAAGAGTAGCAGAATTGACCTTGTCTAGCTTCTACCCAAGCTCGGTTATTAAGAAAACAATAATCTCCTTAATCAACTATGGTTTCTTAAGCGAGGAATATTGCATCCAAACTAGCCAATTTCCCTTTGGAAGATACCTTCCCCATCACCCCACTTGCTCCTTATTTTGCACCGAGCCAAACTGAAAGCATGTTGAAGGAAGATGACTCTTCAGAGTGACTGTGCCAACATTATTGTGCTCAGTCTTCCTGGGACAGATATCTGGAGCTCACGGGGCCTTCTTTTTTTAAAACAGTATATGAACTGGAAAAAGCATTTTATTTTAGTTGAGGTTTTGAAGTTCTAATCCCACCCCACCCCCCTCCGCAACATCACGAGAAACAAATTGTCATTGACTGACAGAAACAGCTTACAGAAATTTCTGTAGGTGGCTGGAAGCCAAGGAATTGGAGAATTCGGAGTCTAGATGGAAAGATAATGGCTTACAGGTCTGTTTTCTGGCTTTTATCACTTGCGCATGGCAGGATTGTCATTGCTGAGAGGACTTAAAGATGAAATGATTTACCATCTCGGCTGAATTTATCTCTCGAGAATAAATACAGTTTCCCCAGGAAGGTTGACACCGCAAAGTATAATTATTAGGATAATGTACACAGCTACAGGAAGACACAGTCACACGTTTCAGGTCTTGCCAAAGGCGATCAGAATGCGGCACCATTCTCCTTTGTAGCTGAAAGTTGAAGTGATCCTGCTAAGTCAGGCACCAGTTGTCTGAGAAAATCTGATGCGTTAACTCTCTGTATGCTGTAGAGTACTGTGTTTGCTGAGGAATGAATGGATCCCATCTTGCTGGAAATTCAGTTGCATTCCACCTACATTTACGAGACAGGATGAGATTCAGAGAAAGAGCTGCGCACAGAACTGGGTGAGGAGGAGGAGGAGGATATGAAGAATTGAAAGAGCTGCGTTATCCAGTTGTGTGGTGTAGTGGTTATAGTGTTGGAATAAGATCTCATTTTTCTTCTGATGCTTCCGTATCTGTGGAGGAGTTCTTGCAGGTGGTAGACCAGTGTACATCACTGGTACACCAATCATTGGTACTTTTGGTTAGTACATTTAATTAGTGATGAACCTACTACCCCAAGCTTTTAAAAAAAGAAAAAAGAGAGGCAGGAAGGTAGCTAATTTTCCTGAGCCCACTTCCCAAATTTGTGCCTCCAGTATAATCCTTGGGGGCATGACAAGATTGGAAGCCTCTATCCAAGGGAGTAAGAGATGTCCTTGTTTGATTTTAACCTGGGCTAGAGGAAGATTCTGGGCCAGAAATGATGTATCCACTTATTCCAAAATTCAGTCAAATGTTACAAGCTGGCTGAGCTGATATTATGACCATAATTACAAACTTTGGCGACATTGCTACCTTTAAAAATTTGACTATTATTGCTACGAGTAATTTACTCTGCAACGCTACACAGAGCAATTTTAGCAGTGGGGATTCAGTTTTAGTTGTTGTTTGTATTGTTTTTAAGGAAATATGCATTTTGAAACATGTGGAGGAATCACGGTGATGAGAAATACTGCCACCAGTCCAAAGCACACCTTTCGCATCATGGAAATGGAGCTGTTGGGTAGTCGATAAATGCCACGCAACTTGGAACATAGTTATTTGCTTGTCTAGGTGAAATGTGGGTGCACATAACTCTTAAGAAAAGAAGTAAAAGCTTGCCTTCTGTGGAATGGTATACCTGCCTTTATTATCCTTCATTGATCAAAATAAATAAAGGCGTTGAATAAATTTAATTTAAATCCAGGTCAAAACACATTACAGGCATCTCCTCAGATATGTGGGGGTTACGTTCCCGGGTATCACATGTATACATGAAATCACGTATGGTGGGGGGGCACCATCTACAAAGTGTGTAAAGGTAAAGGTAAAGGGACCCCTGACCATTCGGTCCAGTCGTGACCGACTCTGGGGTTGCAGCGCTCATCTCGCTTTATTGGCCGAGGGAGCCGGCGTACAGCTTCCGGGTCATATGGCCAGCCTAACTAAGGCGAACCAGAGCAATGCACGGAAATGCCGTTTACCTTCCCGCCAGAGCGGTACCTATTTATCTACTTGCACTCTGACGTGCTTTCGAACTGCTAGGTTGGCAGGAGCAGGGACCGAGCAACGGGAGCTCACCCCATCACGGGGATTCGAACCACCGACCTTCTGATCAGCAAATCCTAGGCTCTGTGGTTTAACCCACAGCGCCACCCCTCTAAACCTCTGGAAACTCTTGAAAAGCTCTTTAAAAAACCAGCAGCACTTACCAGACTGGGAGTAGTTGCTCTCAGTTTCTTAAGCGCTGGAGGATGATATGGAAACAACAAACTCGAACTGTCCACAGTCCTCAAAGGTCAGTGCAAAGGCTCATGGGATAGCTAGCCATTTTCCCACTCTTTTCCCACCATGTTCACAGTTTTCCTGCTCTTCAGGTCGTTTTTGCCCCTTTCACACCTGTTTGCCATTTAAATGTATTGATTGATTGATTGATTGGATTTCCCAGTGCCGCATGTATACCTTGGTTACGTGTGAGTCAAAGGTACCATAAGTGAGGAGACATGTGTACAGTGGTACCTTGGTTCTTGAACTCAATCCGTTCTGGAATCCATTCGACTTCCAAAACGTCCAAAAACTAAAACGTGGCTTCTGATTGGCTGATTGGCCCCGGAAACAATGCTGACAGCCAAAATGGACGTTCGGCTTCTGAAAAATGTTCGCAAACAGGAACAATTACTTCTGGGTTTGTGGCATTCGGGAGTCGATTTGTTCATCAACTAAACCATTCAGGAACCAAGGTACCACTGTACAGTGGAACCCCGGGTTGCAAATGTGATCCATGTGGGAGGCACGTTTGCAACCCACAGCGCTACGTCTGCGCACGTGGGTGACGTGATTCAACGCTTCTGTGCATGCGCAAAGCGTGATTTAGCGTTTCTGCGCATACGTGCATACGAGAGCGTCGAAACCTGGAAGTAACCCGTTCTGGTACTTGCAGGTTTTGGCGTGTCCGTAACCTGAAAACGCGTAACCCGAAGCGTCTGTAACCCGAGGTACCACTGTATAGGAAAACCTATCTGTGAATTCATGGGGGCTTGAAATGTGTTTTCCTGCCCCCCACTCCATTTAGTATAAACATTATGAATCAAGGAGACGTTGAAGGGAGAAAAGCCATGAGTTTTAACTGGCTTTTCCTTTGTAAATTGAAAAATACTCTTGCACTTTCTGTGAGATCTGGTTTCTTCTTGCGACGGGAAACTTCCCTGTCTGTCACACCCTTACCACAGATTTAATGCATATGCCCCCCCCCCCAATCCTGGGAAATGTGGTTTACCCCTCACAGGGCTACAATTCCCAGCACCTAAACATTCCACAGATCCCAGGAATCACTAGGTGAAGCCATGGGTGGTATAGATTTTAGTGTCTGAATAGCAACTTCATGCTCTTCTCTGTGTTGATGTTGTGAGAGCACTGTCTATTCCCCCCCTCCTTCCTGCCTCCCAGCTCTCTGCAGGAGTCCTTAACTGAAGCACTTGTTTCTGCAGTTTAGCCTTGGTTATATAACATGTTCCAAGTGCAACCTGTGAGATAATCTGAATACAGAAAGAACAGAGTCCTTCATGGGCAGGAGCTGTTTGATTGGGAAAATGCAACTCTCATTTGGTCACTCTGGAAATCATGCGGGTGTCTGAGAAGCGGTTCTAAATTTAGATGCGCGTGTGTAATTTTGAGTTAGTTTAATTTGGCAAAGTGTTGTTTTTAAATGGGTAAATTTATAGCTTGACCCCAAGATTGGCTATGTCATTGCAGAAATATTTAGCATGGACCATACCAATGATTGCACTGGTGAAATGCCAACATAGCTTGGTGCTATGACAACACTGTGAGGATATTAACATGAGTATTGCAGCTGGATACACAAATGCAAGTGTAGTGGTATTCTGTTATAAACAAGGGTGGTGGAATCTGTCAATTCTGGTTTTGTTTCCTTGCAACTTTGCATTTTATTTTATTTTTAAGTCCCCATCAAAATACACCAGCATGTTAGTGTAAATTTATTCTAATATGCACATTTTTGTTAGTGCCTTTGCCCAATATACACATTTTTTGAAATGCAATTTCCCCTGGTGCATTTTGGCACATTACTTTCACTAATATGTGCATTTTCAGACACATGTAGCAGCAAATACATTCCTAAACACATTATCCAATGGGAAAGTTGCATTGCAAAAACTGGAGAAGTGAGAGTTTTGAATGGCTGTGTTCTGCTTCCCATATTATTTCAGAAAGTGTGAATTGGGTAGGTTTGCATTAACATGCAAACTGAATCTAATTTCTCCCCCATCCCTAATTACGTGGGGCTACCTTTGAAGGTGACTTGGAAACTACAACTAATGCAGAATGTGGCGACTAGACTGGTGACTGAGAGTGGCTGCCGAGACCATATAACACCGGTCCTGAAAGACCTACATTGGCTCCCAGTACATTTCTGGGCACAATTCAAAGTGTTGGTGCTGACCTTTAAAGCCCTAAACGGCCTCAGCCCAGTATACCTGAAGGAGCATCTCCACCCCCATCGTTCAGCCCGGACACTGAGGTCCAGCTCCAAGGGCCTTCGGGCAGTTGCCTCCCTGAGAGAAGTGAGGTTACAGGGAACCAGGCAGAGGGCCTTCTCTGTGGTGGCCCTCTCCGTGTGGGACGTCCTCCCATCAGATGTTAAGGAGATGAGTAACTATATAATCTTTACAAGATACCTTCCTGTATAGGGAAGCATTGTTGTTGTTGCTATTACAGTCATACCTTGGTTCTTGAACACCTTGGTACTTGTACATTTTGGCTCTTGAAGGCCGAAAACCCGGAAGTAAGTGTTCCAGTTTTTGAACGTTCTTTGGAAGCCTAACATCCGACGTGGCTTCCACGGCTTCTGATTGAGTGCAGGAAGCTCCTGCAGCCAATCGGAAGCTGCGCCTTGATTTTTGAACAGTTTCGGGAGTCAAATGAACTCCCGGAACAGATTAAGTTCGACAACCAAGGTACCGCTGTGTTTATTATTATATTTATGCCCTGCCCATCTGGCTGGGTTAAAGTGTAATGTTTTATTATGTTTTCATACATGTTGGAAGCCACCCAGAGTGTCTGGGGCAACCCAATCAGATGGGCAAGGTACAAATAATAAAATTATTAGTAGTAGAATCATAGAATCATAGAATCATAGAATCATAGAGTTGGAAGAGACCACAAGGGCCATCGAGTCCAACCCCCTGCCAAGCAGGAAACACCATCAGAGCACTCCTGACATATGGTTGTCAAGCCTCTGCTTAAAGACCTCCAAAGAAGGAGACTCCACCACACTCCTTGGCAGCAAATTCCACTGTCAAACAGCTCTTACTGTCAGGAAGTTCTTCCTAATGTTTAGGTGGAATCTTCTTTCTTGTAGTTTGGATCCATTGCTCCGTGTCCGCTTCTCTGGAGCAGCAGAAAACAACCTTTCTCCCTCCTCTATGTGACATCCTTTTATATATTTGAACATGGCTATCATATCACCCCTTAACCTCCTCTTCTCCAGGCTAAACATGCCCAGCTCTCTTAGCCGTTCCTCATAAGGCATCGTTTCCAGGCCTTTGACCATTTTGGTTGCCCTCCTCTGGACATGTTCCAGTAATAGTAGTAATAGTAGTAATAGTAGTAATAGTAGTAGTAGTAGTAGTAGTATCCACACTGTAATAAAAATCTTGCCTTGACCACATAACCTTGCCAGAGAACGCTGTTTCCTAGGTACACACACATGAGCAATCAGGTGATGGTGAAAGAAGAAGCCAATGTCACCTTCTACACACCTCAGATTCCTCTTCTCGGAAAAGACTTCTGAAAATGCAGCGGGGTTAGAGTGAGAACAAAATAGCTCTATTTCCAACCTACGCTTCTGTACCATAGACAGTAATGGGAACAGTTTTAAAATAATGCCTTATAATCCATGGGGTATAATTAGAGCCCTTGGAATTAAGAATGGGGGTATATATATCCCATAACTGTCGCGTTGTATTTTCTGTGCTGAATCGTCCTTTGCCAGGGCATACAGTGCAGCCTTGCAGTCTCAGATGTTAAAGAGGAAGATTAATGCATGTGGTTCCCTAACCACCTTTCACATCTTTACAGCTAAACATTGTTTATAGGGATCAACTAGTTCTCTGTCTCTTCTGTTTTATTATGAGGCTGTGTTCGGATCTCCTTTAAAAGAGAGGATGATGGATGATCAACTTTCAACATGAGTGAAAAATGGGCTGTCCCAGGAGAGCAGGTTATAGGGAGAAAAGTTTAAACGATGATAAAACTCAGCCTCCGCAAGACAGTAAGATTCTGTCTGTGGAATCAGTATGACTTCTATTACATACAGAACTTTCCCCTCCGTTGGCTTGGATGTTTGCTATAGGAAGCCTAGGTGAGCTTTCAGATCTCTTTGTCCAACAGAAACTGGGAGTGAATTTGTGTTCTGCTTTGGAATGCATCACAGCAGATCGTTGAATTGTGTGGTCCGCAATGGGTCTCAGTGCCGTAGCGTGGGTTGCCAGTACCCAGGGCGGGGTAAGTGTTGTGCCCCCTGCTGGTGGACTGGGGGAGTGCACCTGGGGGGCACACGCAGAGCCTGCCTCCAGCAGGCTCCTGGCCGGCTCCCTCTCCCCACCCACTCACTGGACCAACCCACCTGTTGCAGCACCTCAGCTGCCAGAGCTCTCTGCCTGCACATCCTCAAAAATGTGCACCTGGGGCCATGGCCCCCATATGCGATGCCTCTGGTGGGTCTCTACAGTTGAAAGGCACTGCACTTCTGGAAATAAGTATGCCAGTTGCGGAATTGGTAAAGGTAAAGGGACCCCTCACTGTAGGGTCCAGTCGTGGCAGAATCTGGGGTTGCAGCGCTCATTTCACTTTATTGGCCGAGGGAGCCAGCATTTGTCCGCAGACAGCTTCCGGGTCATGTGGCCAACATGACTAAGCTGCTTCTGGTGAACCAGAGCAGTGCACGGAAATGCCGTTTACCTTCCCGCCGGAGTGGTACCTATTTATCTACTTGCACTTTGACGTGCTTTCAAACTGCTAGGTTGGCAGGAGCAGGGACCGAGCAACGGGAGCTCACCCCGTCGCGGGGATTCGAACCGCCGACCTTCTGATCGGCAAGTCCTGAGCTCTGTGGTTTAACCCACAGTGCCACCCATGGAATTGGTAGCTGAGCCCAAAATCTGTAGTCAGAATTCTAACTGAGAATCAGATATTTGAATTTTAGGATATATGAGTATATCCTAAAATTATATATGGTGTGTGTGTGTGTGTGTGTGTGTGTGTGTGTGTGTGTGTTTGCATATCCTCCTCATAGTTGCACTTGGCTGCATCAGATAGCTGAGATTCTAAGGAGGACCACTCCATTGGCTCACCTAGGGCCATGTACCCTTTGGCTGTTCCTGTCCAAACCCCAAAATGAAGCTGGCCTAGCAGCTTTGTGCTTCCTCCAAGACCCTTTGGGTGTTCCATTCAAATGCCTGGAAACCCTAGAGGATATTTTCCCATCAAGAACTCCCTAGTACAGCTGTGGCGGTGTGGGTTGGTGTTTTTCCGTCAACTCAGTTTAGCTGGTCTTTGAGGATGTGCTTAGTTCTAATCAACCAATTGGCCCTGAAAGCAAGCGTTAAAAGGAGTTCCCTGCAAGCCCCACTTTGTCTATTTGCAAACTACTTTGTCCTGGTTTGTCTGCTTGTGAAAGTTCGTCAGACCACCTTCTAGTTTGCAGAAGAAGAACATCGATCTGCAGGAGTGGCTTGAATCCAAACTGCAGCTGCAGGACAAGACTTGAAACTCGTTACTTGCTGATCAACTGATTGGCAGTTGCAACAAATCCCTTTGATGTCAACTGACATCATAATAATCTCACGGGATTGCCCAGTGTGTGATCAAACCCATCTGTCAAAGTTGGCCCCAAAGTTGGTGGCGGCAGCATTTGGATCAAGCCTGCCTGCCAGCTCTAGTTCCCTACCAAAGGTAAAGTTCTAGTTCCCTACCAAAGGTAAAGGTACCCCTGACCGTTAGGTCCAGTCGCGGACAACTCTGCGGTTGTGGCGCTCATCTCTCTCTATAGGCTGAGGAAGCTGGCGTTTGTCCGCAGTCAGCTTCTGGGTCATGTGGCCAGCATGACTAAGCTGCTTCTGGCGAAACCAGAGCAGCGCATGGAAACACTGTTTACCTTCCCGCTGGAGCGGTACCTATTTATCTACTTGCACTTTGAGGTGCTTTCAAACTGCTGGGTGGGCAGGAGCTGGGACTGAACAACAGGAGCTCACCCCGTCACGGGGATTCGAACTGCTGACCTTCTGATCAGCAAGTCCTAGGCTCTGTGGTTTAGACCACAGCGCCACCCACGTCCCTGATGTTGTATAACAACTGGTGCGTAATAACAGCAAATGTTAATGGTGAACAGCTGTATTAATGCTTACCAGATTTTGACAAGTATGCTTGAAGTGTTGAGCTGGCAATGTTTTCATCCCCCTGTTGACATGCATTAGGGAGAGCTCCCTGAAGCAGTGCTCAGAATGCACCCCTTTCTTTTCTTCCCAAATCCGCTAATGTGCATTAGCAAGTTTAGCAGTGAATCAAAACTGGATTATAAGGCCAACCTGCACAGAATAAATGTGTGTGTGCATTTCAGAACGGAATCTCAGGCAACGGCCTTGAGCATCCCGAGGGATACCTGAGATGCATTTAACTTGTAGAAATTGTTCCACAGAGATTGAAGATGAATGCTGTTTTGCTCACAAAAGCTTCTTTACAACAATAGCCTTTGAGTGCCTTGCTACGACTTTGGAACGTTGTTTGATTTTGCCCATAATTTAAGAGAGCGAAAAAGTGTAACTCAGGGTGTCAGTCCTACCTGTGTAAATCTCTACTTACCTGATCCATCCCACTGCAGCTCCTGTGCTGTTTTCACCATCGCAACAGGTGACGGACGGCTCCCCTGGAGTGCATTTAGGAGATGTGACTGACTTCTGTCACAATCCATTAACTCCTTCTCTCCTCTTCTTCAGGGGCAAAACAAACCCTCCACCCATTTCTGCTTGCGGCCTGTCGTCTTTTCTTTGGGTGTGTCAAAGTAGCTTCCATTGGAGGGCCATGGCCTCATACCAAAAACATTTAGAGATGAACATCACTGGCAAAATAGCAAATGGAACGTGCAGCCTGTGCTGATCAGGCCTTGCCATACCACATCCGTATATGAGCAAAATTGTGGTTAGGGCTGCACGGAGGTGGGAAATAATGTTGCCTGCTTCCAGCTTTTGCTTCGCTGTTTGATTGGGAGTTTTCTCCATAGGAATCTCACTCTTGAGGCTGCTTTGAATGATAAGAACATAAATAGAACCCTGGTGGATCTAGCCAACGTCCTGTTCTGGCCAAAAATATGCCTATGGGACAAGTTGGACCTGAGCACAACAGCACTCTGCCCACCTGAGATTCACAGCAAAATGCCTCTGAAATTGGAGACAGAACATGTTATATTTCCATCCTTTGTTCTTGAAGTTGAAAGTAGAGAAGGAGACAAGGAGGAGGACTGGGCATGTGTGTATGTTAATGGCTTGTCCTTCTCTCGAGTAGGACCCTGGCAGACACACATGCCCGACTGGCATGTTCTCTCCCTCCTGGTCATTCGTTCGGGAGCTTCAAAAGCTTTCTTCTGCCCAAACATCACAGCGACTGATGCCAACAGACATCATCACACTTAGGGATCCGCAGAGTGTGTGCAGTTGCGTAACAGACCTCAGCAACTCAGCATTTTGGCTAATCTACTTTATTTACATATAAACACACATGGAGCACTGCAACATGGCTCCATCTCTCTCTAGCATCAGACAGCAAAGAGAAAGAACAAAGGACAATAGTCCCACTTCACGGAACACAGTAACACAAACATCCTGTCTCTGTCACTTCCTACTTTGTGGAGTCAAAACATATACCGTCATGTGAAAGACAACAATCCCATGACTGCAATCATGGAGCAGAAATTCTAGCAGTTCAGGGTCCTTTCCAACTCCACAATTCTATGATTCTACGCATAATATTTTTATCATTTATACCCTGCCCATCTGACTGGGTTACCCTAGCCTCTCTGGATGGCTTCCAACAGAAATAAAAACACAATAAAACATTTTTAAAAATTGCTATGCAGGGCTGCCTTCAGATGTCTTCTCAAAGTTTTATAGTCAATGCTATTTTTCTAGAAAAAGAGGTGCTGGAATTCACCATGGACGCCTCCCTTGTTCTCTTAGAATGGCAACGGCACCCACCTGAGAGGTGCCAGAACTGAGTTCCAGCGAGTTCAGGCTGAAAAAAGCCCTGTGTATAGTTATTTATCTCCTTGACATCTGATGGGAGGGCACTCCACAGGGTGGGCTCCATCGAAAAGGCCCTCTGCCTGGTTCCCTGTAACTTCACCTCTTGCAGTGAGGGAACCTCCAGAAAGCCATCAGAGCTGGACCTCCGTGTCTGGGCTGAAGGACTTTATTTAGCAAGTCAGTAATGAGGAGAGGGAGATGTGTAGAGATCAAGTTAGGTGAATGTCATTTTCTCAGTCTCTCCTAGTACTAGAGCCTGGGGTCATCCAATGCAGCTGAATGTCAGGCAATTCAGATCAGACAAAGAGGAAGTACTTCTCCATGTCATATTTAATGAAATTGTGGATTTCATTACCACAAGATATAGCAACAGCCATCAACTTAGATGGCTTTAAAAGGGGATTGGACAAATCCAGGGAGAATAAGATGTTCCACGGTTATTAGTCATAATGACTGTATGTTACCTCTGAGATCAGAGGCAAGTAGGACTCTTCTTAGTGGCTCCTAATGGGATCAGGGGCTCGGGTTTTGCAAACCAGTTACAGGATTTGGAATCTGGCATTTGGCAGATGCAAAAAGTCGCAGCCTCAGTTCAGTCCCAATCGTTGTGCAGTTTGCCATCTATAAACAATCACAACCTGCTTCTCGTTTTTCTGCAATTTTCACACCAGTGCTAGTCTGTGCACATTTAAAATTTGCATATATTGGTATAAATTAACGCATTTGAGCAGCAAAGGCACCTATTGGTTTAAAATTGCTTCTCTAGGAGAGATAATAACAATAGTATTGAAGAATGAGGCAGAGAGAATTTCTAATCCAGGCAGAATGGAAGCATTTATGGTGGTTGCATAACTAGAGTAAAGGAAATAGCCAGAAATGCTGTAAAAGTTTAGGAGGGCAATCTTGTTTCATTTCTTAATTTCTTGCCCATCCCAAATTTGCAATAAATTTTCTTGCCAATCCCAAATTTGCAATAATTTTTGATTTGACCCATTGTCGTGCTTGTAAATTGTTTTAAACTATATTTTAATAACGCGTTTTTAAATTGCTAACTCTCCCAAAGACCTTATGGGGAAAGTCGGGCAAGAATGAATGAATGATGTGTTTTGAATTGCCTCCAGAATGCCATTAAATTACATATAAGTCCTCTAGCTTTTCCTTGGAACACTATAGTTCACTAAGAAAGTTTGTCAAAAGAGGATCCTTAAAATATATATATTCCAAGGAATAAAACTTTTCGTATCCTGCTACAAAAATTAGTGAGATTATTAAGACCTTCTACATAAACTCCTATTTCTGTCTGGGTATAATATTTAAGATGGCAATTCTTGGATCAGTGGGAACTGGGTGGCCCAATTCTATGCATAGTTACGTGGGACTAAGTCCCTCTGAACACTATGTGTCTTACTTCTGAGTAAATATGCATAAGATGGTACTGTAAATCAAATCAAATTCAAGCAGCTCATGTTAGCCACAAGAGGGCAATGTTGGCATACTGGATAGGGATCCATTCTGACCAAGTTTCTAAATCCTGAGTTCTAATTCTGTCTGCAAAGCTGTTCTTTTAAATTGTTCATGTCTTTTACATTACTATCAGCTAGTCAGTGGGATGTCCAGAGCCAGTGTGGTGTAGTGGTTAAGAGCGGTAGTCTCGTAATCTGGGGAACCGGGTTCACGTCTCCGCTCCTCCACATGCAGCTGCTGGGTGACCTTGGGCCAGTCACACTTCTTTGAAGTCTCTCAGCCCCACTCACCTCACAGAGTGTTTGTTGTGGGGGAGGAAGGGAAAGGAGAATGTTAGCCGCTTTGAGACTCCTGAAGGGGAGTGAAAGGCGGGATATCAAATCTAAACTCTTCTGGTATAGGAGACAGGAATACATTTCCTGATTTGCATGGCAGGAGCACTTTGACCTAGGACATTCCTGCCCCTCCCCCCACCCCATATTCATTATATTATTATCGTTTGATTTTTATTTAGAGTCTGCATGAATCAGAGTTTGCATGAATCAGAATCAGAATAATCTTTATTTGCATCAGCCACCAGCTGTAGCAATAACATAAAATGTACTGAAGTGAGAGGTAAAAACTTAACTTTAGAAAATACATTTGGGGGGTTTATATCAGTAATCAAATAATAGATCTTATTCTAATTGCCCTTGCTAAAAAACCTTGCAGCTTTTGCTGTCACCTGATCATCTTGATCTGCTAAAACACAGTAGCAATGGTTGAGCAACCCCCGGCATGGACAATAATAGAGGGGTAATAATCTCCTCAAATCTTTATAAAGAGGGCAAGCCAGAAGGACGCGAGCCACTGACTCAATACTGCCATCTCCGCAGGGACATAACCATTTTTCCAGTGGAATTTTTTAAAATCGACCCTCAAGTACAGCTGAAGGCAGTATATTCAATCTTGCGAAAGCGAAAGCACGCCTGTATTTTGGAATTCTATAATTTTGTGAATAGGGTGCCTGAGTGTCAAAATGACTAGGTGGAAAATAATCGTACCATGGACAAAATGTCCTTATTGTGGCCAGATTATTCTGTTGCTTGGTGTCATATAGGCGCTGTCCAATTAAATGATTTGATTTACTGAAGCCCAGTGTTAATAACTGTTGTGGTAAACCAGAAAAATAGAGCTTTTGGCTGACCATTTTAGGCCAAGTGCTCTCATGACAATCTTGTGATAATAAGGGTAGTAGGCCAGTGGACTTGCACAAGTTGCATGCTTTCCTAGTGCTTTAAATAGGAAAGTGTTCCACTCCACAATTTGCTTTTATCCTGCCTACAATCTGAAGTCCGCCGGCCAGAATTCCCTCTGCCCAAGTAGTAGGGCATCTCTGCATGTAGCAGTCTTCTTCTCCCGAGTTCTGTGGGGGGCGGGTTAAAGTTCCACAAGTAATTCTGCAATTTTAGAGCAGAGACTCCCGACTTTTTGGGGACTGAGCACACATTTGTGAATACGAGAAACGGTTGCGGACCTCCCCACCCACCCACTGTAACTAAGCACAATTTGCCACCTATTCAATTGTTGACTACAGCGGGATGCTTCTGTTGGGTCTAATTTCAGCAGTGGGAGGCAACCCTATGGGCCACCAGGGAAGGCCCCTGCAGGCATATCTGTGCTCCACGTTGACAACCCTTGCTCTAGTGTCAGTAATTGGATTGATGAGGAAGAGTGGTGGGAACAGCCCAACCAAGAGCCCCTCAGGGAGGGCACAGAAGATGATGACTTGGATGATGGTGGTGCGATACTGAAGAAAAGTCTGGGGAAGGGAGAATCTAGGAGGTGCTAGAAGCAGAGTGTGCTGGTCCCGTGGGTTACCCGAGAGGCGAGGTCCAAGTCCGGTCCGTGGTCAAAGGTGCAACGAGGAGGCAGTCTGTAGTAGCTGAAGCTGGGTTCAGGGCAGGGAGCCTGGTGAAGTCAGGAACAGGCTTGCAAGCAGGGAGCCAGGGCGGATCAGGAGCTCAGGAAGGAACTAGCAACCAACAATGTTGCTCCTGCAACTTGGGACTGGCCGGCTCTTATCTGCCCTGAGGCATAGGGCAGCCCTGATCCTCTGGAGACTCACCTCTCCTGGCCTGGAGGTGAGCACTCCTCCTGCGGGAACTTGGCTCCCTCCGCCTCTCTGCCCTGAGCCTCTGCAGCTCAGGAGAGGCTGGAGGGTTACCGGACCCAGAGGCAACCTCACTTCGCCACTCCTCCACATGCAGCTGCTGGGTGACCTTGGGCCAGTCACACTTCTCTGAAGTCTCTCAACCCCACTCACCTCACAGAGTGTTTGTTGTGGGGGAGGAAGGGAAAGGAGATTGTTAGCCGCTTTGAGACTCCTTAGGGTAGTGATAAAGCGGGATATCAAATCCAAACTCCTCTACTACTTCTTCTTCTTCTTCTTCTTCTTCTTCTTCTTCTTCTTCTTCTTCTTCTTTTTCAGGACGATTTGGGGAGCCAGGCTGGTGAGGGGTGTTGCCTGGGGAGGAAGAATGGGCTGGGAGAGTTCTGAGGGCCTCACAGAAGTGCGTAGAGGGCCACATTGAAACCTCTTTAGCATCTGAATTAGAGGAATACATAGGAACTTTATTGTCGGCCAGAGCAACACCGCATTAGTTTCTTTACAGGCATTGTCTTGAAAGGTTTGCAGCGTGAAACATAAAAAAGAGACGACAGGTGCCGAGCCAGTACGAGAGAGGGGGGGAGCTCAAGGAAGCAATGGATAGAAACAGAGTGACAGGCAGAGACCTTGAGGCATCAGCTGCCCTTTCCCTTTGAGTGTTCGGAAGTGTTTGTGCAGAAACCTTACTCACATTTTAATGACCCTCTTTTGTTTCATTTTATTTTTTTTGTTTGGAACTAACCAGTGCAATTTTTCAAGAACGCCTAGCCTTGTTCTCTTATAATGGCAATGGCGCCCACCTGAGAGGTGCCAGAACTGAGTTCCGGCAAGTCCAAGCTCGAAAAAGCCTCTGCAGTCCTGTTATTAGGGAAAGTAGTGGGCACGACTTAGCATGACAAGTGGTTCAGATTCTTGGGCAAGACCTCAGTGATGGAGGAGGTATTACTGTCTCCTCAGTGGCGGACAGGACAGGGGAGTAGTAAAAGGTAAAGGTAAAGGACCCCTGGATGACTAAGTCCAGTCAAAGGCGACTGTGGGGTGCGGCACTCATCTCGCTTTCAGGCCAAGGGAGCCAGCGTTTGTCCACAGACAGCTTTCCGGGTCCCAGTACATTTCCAAGCACAATTCAAAGTGTTGGTGCTGACCTTTAAAGCCCTAAATGGCCTCAGCCCAGTATAGCTGAAGGAGCGTCTCTACCCCCATTGTTCTGTTGAATGGTTTAATATGTAAAGGTTCATCATTGTTCCACTCGATGTGTATGTCTTTAAGGGGCCAGAGAAAGGGCCAGAGCAAAATAACGAGACCCAGCTTTACAGCTGTGAAACATAGCAGGTGCTGCTGAGTTGTATTGATTAAGCTGTGTTGGTAATTGGGTGTAGTATATAAGGAGCAGCACCTAGCTCTCCCATTACCCTGGGGGATGGGTTGGTGGTTGGGTCATGTTTGTTTGTTAATGTATTTAGTGTAAAAGGAGTTTTTGTTTTTCTTATTAAAACCTTGTTTAAGTTATTTTTGAGTCCCTTTTAATGCATGGTCTCCCCAGCAAGCTCTCTGCAGCGCTACCATACTGCAAAAAGCCAACATCTTTGGTTATGGGCCCAGCTGCTGAGTGGATGACTGCATATTTTTGGACTCTGAGAAAGGTTTGAAAACTCCTTCTCCTGTTAGCGTAGTTCTGTGGGTCTGGAAGAGTTCCAGAATGGTTGACCGGGTTCCTGAAGCTGAGAAGGCTCTGGTCTTCCCACAGCTGACAGATGAGAACTATAGTTTATGGTCTTTTCGGGTGGAGGCGCTTTTGACCTCTAGAGAAGTATGGACCTATGTAACTGATGACCCTCCTGACCCTGTGACTAATGCTTGGTCGAAAGGAGATGCGAAAGCCAGGGCGATAATTAATTTGGCAGTCAGCGACCAGCAAGTAGTCTATATAAGAAATAAGAAAACTGCCAAAGAAATGTGGGACAGTCTTGCAGCAGTGCATGTTAGAAAAGAGTCAGCGTCTGCATTGACGTTTTCAAGCAGTTGTACCAGACGAAGTTGCAGCCTGGTGGTGATTTGGCAGCACACTTGAGACGTCTGGAGGCAATACGCGGCGAATTAATTCGAAGGGACATGGAGATACCTGATATTCAGTATGTTTTCATCATCCTTTGTTCCCTTAATGAGGACTTTGATGGTATAGCTAGCCAGATATCTGCCGTTCCACCAGCACAATTAACTGTGGAAGGGGTAACGGCAAGATTAATGGGCGAGTTGGACAGAAGGGAGGCTTGTGCCATAAGCACTCCTATTTCCAGAAAGAATGAGGAACGCCATATGCAAACTTGTGGTGATACAACTGCATTTAAAGCTGCAAAGCGTTGTTGGTTCTGCAATAAGCAAGGACATTTTGCAAAGGACTGCAGATCCAAAAGAAAGCAAAGTACTCCCAAGTCTGTTTCTGTTCGTCAGTCACGGTCGTCAGCTCAGCAGCCGGCATCGTACCGTAAAGACAGAAACGAGCCGCGAGCTTTTCACGCTAGCACAAGAGATCGTAAAAGAATTAAAGGTGCCAAGTGGAATTCTTTTATTGTGGACTCAGGAGCATCTCAGCACGTTTGCAACGATCGAAGCTTGTTTATTTCTTTCGAAGAGGAAATTGGTAATGTACATTTAGCCAATTCACAAGTCTTGCAGTCGCTTGGCAGGGGTACTGTTAAACTTGACTCTTTAAACATTACTATAGCGAACTGCATTTACTGCCCATCAGTGGACAATTTATTGTCAGTAAGGTGTTTTGCTCGTCAAGGCATAACTGTGCGTTTCTTAAAGTCAATGTGTGAGTTTTTCGAGGGGAACAAACGTCTATTGTATGCCCGGGAATCTGATGGTTTATATAGACTGTATTTTCGCACCTACTCCCAATCGCCTATAAATTGCAGAGCAGCACAGTCAAGCCAGGGGTTGAGGAATGTAAGGCCACATTCTGGGTGTGTCCATGAGGCGCACAGAATTCTGGGACATCTGAATTTTGCTGATGTAATTAAGACCAAGAATATTGTTAATGGCCTCAACTTAAAACCATGTAAATTCTTTATGCAATGTCTATCCTGTTGCAAGAATAAGATTAAGGTTGCACGCAAGGGTAGGTGCTCAGATAGGAAAGTAACTGAGCCATTTGAGCGTGTACATTGTGATTTAGTTGGGCCACTCCCACCATCCTTAGGAGGTTCTAAGTACTGGCTTACCCTGATAGACCAGTATAGTAGATATTGTTGGACTTATGCAATAGCTGAGAAGTCCCAAGCATTTGAGAAGTACAAAGTTTTTGCAACTGGGTAAAAACACATTTTAACAAACCTATTAAGAACCTTTTTCTGACAGGGGCGGGAATTTGTTTCTGAGGATTTTGAGAAATTCCTGGAAGCGCAGGGGACTACTCATGAGTTATCTTGCCCCGAAGTCCCTGGCAAAATGGGCTTGTTGAAGTTGTGCAGCGTGACCTGCAGGCAGGGGTTAAAACTTATCTGCATGATGCTAATCTGCCCAAAGACTTTTGGGCTGAAGCGCTCAATGCCTTTTGTTATGTTAGAAATCGCAGTTATCATTCTGGTTTAGATGTCACCCCTATGAGAAGCTGTTTAAAAACGCCCTAATCTGAAATACCTACGCATTTGGGGTTCAGATGTAATAATGCATTATCCCGCTAAGCAGAAATTGGGTGAACGTAGTGTCCAGGGAAAATTAATGGGCTACCAGCAGGGGGCGTACAGAATTTACATACCAGCAACTGGCAAATTTCATATTACCAGAAGCATGATACAAACTGTAAATTGGAATGGTGTTGCTGTTTTCCAAGATAGTAATGGTATAGATAATACTGAGGAAGAAGAGGTAGAAGAAGCAGCAGCAGCAGCAGGAAATGGTGCTTCTGAATTAATGGAAGAAGACAAAAAGCCTGTTGAATCTGATAATTTCTTTGATGATTTAAAGTCACAGGCACCCGAGGGGAGGTTAGATTCTCTTGAGTTTTCTGACCGTGAGCTTAGCCAACAGGCATCTCTTCAGTCTGACAATGATGATTTACAACCTGAAACTAGTAGTTTACATAGTCCCATTAAGTCTGAGGAGTCTGACTCTCCTTCCGGACTGAGACGTTCAGATAGAAAGAGACAGAAGCCACAACGTTTTGCAGATGAACATTTTAATACTGTGTATGCCAATAAGGCAGTTTTTGAGCCAAAAAGCTACAATGATGTTCAGAATTTACCTAAGCACCAAGCTGTAAATTGGTATAAAGCTATGAACTCTGAAATAGCTTCTTTAAAAGAGCATAACACTTGGTCTCTTGTACCACAAACCCCAGATATGAGACTTATTGATTCAAAATGGGTTTATAGAGTTAAAATGAATGACAAAAATGAAGTTGTAAGGTACAAGGCAAGATTAGTTGCTAGGGGTTTTCAACAAATTCCAGGCGAAGATTATGATTTGTGTTATTCACCAAGTGTAAAATATGAAACAGTTAAGCTTTTGTTAAAAGATGCATCACAACGTGGACATTCTGTTTATCACCTAGATATAAAAACTGCATATTTGTTTGCAGATTTAAAAGAACAAATTTTTATGCGTGTCCCTGAAGGCATAGACGCCGCTGAAGGTTTGGTATGCAAATTAAATAAATCCCTTTATGGTCTGCACCAAAGTGGAAGGAATTGGCATCAAACTTTAGCAAAAGAATTGCTGGATATTGGTTTTTCACAGGGAAAGGCAGACAATTGTGTGTTTATAAAGGAAAGGGCAAACTCTGTAGCAAAAATATGTGTCTATGTAGATGACGTGTTAATTTCTACAAAAACTAAACAGGAATATGAACAGGTAGTAACACAGTTACAGAAGAAATTTGATGTGGTGGAATTAGGCATAGCTAAAAATTACTTATCCATGCAAATTGAGAAAGGCAAAAATGGATCTTTTCTGGTTCATCAAACTGCAAAAATTGACGATCTTGTTGAAATGCTATGTTTAGAAAATGCAAATGGGAAGGAAACGCCCATGGTGTGTGGTTTCACTTTTACAGGTGAAGATAAGCCATTTCCTAACAAAACTTTGTATCGTTCTGCTATAGGCAAGCTAAATTTCATTCAAAGAATCTCAAGACCAGATATAACTTATGCCTTTCACTTTCTGGCAAAATTTGTGGAAAAGCCCACTACACAATGTTTCTCTGCTCTTAAGAGAGTGGTAATGTACCTTAAACATACCAAACATTATAGGTTGCAGTTTACAACATGTATTGACAAAGGTTTTGAAATTTTCTGTGATGCATCTCATGCAGTGGAACAAAATAATTGCAGGGGTGTGTCTGGTATGGTGTTTTGTTATAATGGTTGTCCATTTGAATGGAAGTCCCAGACACAAACCATTATTTGTCTCTCCACAACAGAGAGTGAATTATGTGCATGTGTTCAGGCCACTCGTGATGTGGAATGGTATCTGCAAGTATTCGCAGACCTACAGATGCAAGTAACACTACCAGTAAAAGTTTACCTTGATTCCCAGAGTGGACTCGCTATCCTATGTTCAGAAACCAATACGCAGCGCACTAAAGTCTTAAGATTACGTTTACAGTTTGTAAAGAAACTAATTGCTGATGAAATGGTTGTATTTAAATATGTTCCAGGTGACAATCAAATTGCAGACATTTTTACTAAAGCACTTCCAAAAGGTATACATGAAAAACATGTACAAAGTATGCTTTATGTTTTTGTTCCACAATGATGAACCGCAGGGGAAATGTTGAATGGTTTAATATGTAAAGGTTCATCATTGTTCCACTCGATGTGTATGTCTTTAAGGGGCCAGAGAAAGGGCCAGAGCAAAATAACGAGACCCAGCTTTACAGCTGTGAAACATAGCAGGTGCTGCTGAGTTGTATTGATTAAGCTGTGTTGGTAATTGGGTGTAGTATATAAGGAGCAGCACCTAGCTCTCCCATTACCCTGGGGGATGGGTTGGTGGTTGGGTCATGTTTGTTTGTTAATGTATTTAGTGTAAAAGGAGTTTTTGTTTTTCTTATTAAAACCTTGTTTAAATTATTTTTGAGTCCCTTTTTAATGCATGGTCTCCCCAGCAAGCTCTCTGCAGCGCTACCATACTGCAAAAAGTCAACATGTTCAGCCCAGACACTGAGGTCCAGCTCCGAGGGCCTTCTGGCGGTTCCCTCACTGCAAGATGTGAAGTTACAGGAACCAGGCAGAGGGCCTTCTCAGTAGTGGCACCCGCCCTGTGGAACGCCCTCCCACCAGATGTCAAAGAGAAAAACAACTACCAGACTTTTAGAAGACATCTGAAGGCAGCCATGTTTAGGGAAGCTTTTAATGTTTAATAGACTATTGTATTTTAATATTTTGTTTGAAGCTGCCCAGAGTGGCTGGGGAAACCCAACCAGATGGGCGGGGTATAAATAAATTATTATTGTTATTATTATTATTATTTGGCCAGTATGACTAAACCGCTTCTGGTGCAATGGAACCCCGTGTTGGAAACCAGAGCGCACAGAAACTCTGTTTACCTTCCCGTCACAGTGGTACCTATTTATCTACTTGCACTGGCATGCTTTTGAACTGCTAGGTTGGCAGGAGCTGGCACAGAGCAACGGGAGCTCACTCCATTGCGGGGATTCGAACTGCCGACCTTCAGATTGGCAAGCCCAAGAGGCTCAGTGGTTTAGACCACAGTGCCACCCGCATCCCTCTCCCATCGCTTGGTGAAGTGGGACTGTACATAGTTTCTGATGTGGCAAAGTAGATGAGCTAGAACCTACCTCTGGAGGTGGAGCTCATGCTGTGTTGGCTGGTGGGTAGATGGGACTAGACATAGGAAACTCCTCCCACTAGGATCTTTCCTTGGATTCTCTTCCTCCAGCTCTCCTGACCTGGGCAGAGACCTTCCTAGCCCACTCTCTCCCTCCCTGGTGTCTTCTGTAGGTCACCTGGCCTGGCCAGACCCCCACCACTCAGGGCCTATGACACATCTGGAGGTCCACAGGTGTCGCACACCTGGACTTCAAGAACTCATGTGACCTTAGGACAGTGGTTCTCAACCTTGGGTCCCCAGATGTTTTTGACCTACAACTCCCATGATCCCTAGCTCACAGGACCAGTGGTCAGGGATGATGGGAGTTGTAGGCCGAAAACATCTGGGGACCCAAGGCTGAGAAAGGTTGCCTTAGGGCATCTGTTACTAAGCAAGTGTTGGCTTTTACCCCAAGGAAGGGAAGATCTCTAAATTACAACTAGCATCACACCATTATGAGCAAGACACGATATATTTTAGAGTGCTTAAAATGTGACTGATCCATGTTAAGTAATCTTGAGTATGTTTCCTTTGTGGATGTTATTGGGAGCCTCCCAGAATGGGCTGGGGCAACCCAATCAGGTGGTCATTACATAAATAATAAAAGGGTGATGATGATTTTCTCCTCCTATTTTTTTTTAAATATAGCTCTCCTGTTCAAATGAGTTTGCTCAACGTAATCTGTTGTGCTTATCGCCAACATTGGTGATATTTTAAACTCTGCAAATACGTTAATTACATTACTTGAGTAATGTAACTGTGTGTATAAACTGTATGCATAAATATTATATTAAGCAGCTAATATTGTCTGTTCCTAGATCCATGCCTGCTGTGCTGGTTAGAAGCAAAGCAGCTTGCTTTCCAGTTTGCCTAGGGATTTTACTTTATCGAGTTACTGGTTTAAAATCAACAAATTAGAACACAGTACACAGTATCCTTTTGCTTTATTCCACAGTCTTGAATTTAATTAGCCCTTATCATTGAATATTGTTGTTGCTAAATCCTTATGTAAGCAGAGACTATAGGATATAGATATGCAGCAAGATTTGCCTCGTGTTGTGGCATCGAAATCGTCTGCTTTTCTTGCCAGCATGTCAATATGGTTCAAGGGGATTTGACAGAGCTTTGAGATGCTAGCAAGAGGAAAGCTTTAACATCTTTATGGCTTGAGATTGTGGAGACAGAAATGCTTCCAACATGATTAACAAGGAGATTGAATAATAGTTTAAAGATTTCGTAGCTGCAGAAAAAGTGTGATAGATGACTCTCATCACTGTGTTGGATTTATGGCAAAGTTTAGAAAGAGTTATTAAAGGGTTTTAATAGCTTGACTGCAGCTGGTCAACTAAATCAGGGTTTTCATTAATGTCCTGAATATAAGTAATTTAGCAGTTCCTCTTCCTAAGGAGTGTGTTCTGCTCATGCTGCTGTTATAGCCTTGGCTAAATTCTATATCAGGAATAAAATAACATTTTAATGTGTTATTTGTATTGCTTTTAAATGCTATATCTTTTATGGGTTTCTATTGTTTGGTGGTGGAGAATTATTTTTGTAATGACTTTCCCTGCTGAACAAATGAACTTAAAGACACATTTTAAGCCGCTTATGTGTTTTTTCTCTGAGAAATTATATGCTCCAGCAGTCTCCACAATTTGTGCAATTGGTTTTTTATGCATCTGACTATACTTCCATGTTGCAATTTGCCAAGCGCTATGGCATAAACACACACACACACACCCACACACACACACACACACAGTGGTACCTCGAGTTACAAATGCCTCAGGTTACAAACGCTTCAGGTTACAAACTCCGCTAACCTGAAAGAGTTACCTTGAGTTGAGAACTTTGCCCCAGGATGGGAACGGAAATTGTGTGCCGGCGGTGCAGCAGCAGCAAGAGGCCCCATTAGCAAAAGCACGCCTCTAGTTAAGAACAGTTTCAGGTTAAGAACGGACCTCCGGAACGAATTAAGTTTGTAACTAGAGGTACCACTCTGTGTGTATGTGTGTATGTGTGTATGTGTGTGTGTGTGTGTGTGTGTATCTATATCTATATCTATATCTATATCTAATCTATATCTGATGTCTGTTGTGAGCTACTCTGGGCACAATCAAAAATTGAAAAGGGGCATATAAATTCAGCTAGCTCTTAGACAGCAGGGGAGACTTTCAAACTATAGGTAAACTATTGCATTTAGCAAAAATTACCCTTACTAAAGGGACGCGGGTGGTGCTGTGGGTTAAACCACAGAGCCTAGGACTTGCCGATCAGAAGGTCGGCGGTTTGAATCCCCGTGACGGGGTGAGCTCCCGTCGCTCGGTCCCTGCTCCTGCCAACCTAGCAGTTCAAAAGCACGTCAAAGTGCAAGTAGATAAATAGGTACCACTCCAGCGGGAAGGTAAACGGCTTTTCCTTTGACTGCTCTGGTTCGCCAGAAGCAGCTTAGTCATGCTGGCCACATGACCCGGAAGCTGTACGCCAGGTCCTTCAGCCAAAAAAGCGAGATGAGCACTGCAACCCCAGAGTCAGTCACGACTGGACCCAATGGTCAGGGGTCCCTTTACCTTTACCTTTACCTTTACCTTTACCCTTACTAAGGCTAACAGAGCTGTTGATTTTGCACTTTCTGTTTTTGGAAGTTGCTCATTATGGTTGTTTCTTATGGAACGGAAGAGAAAAGCAAGATTGAGGCAAACTTTCATAGCTGCCTGGATTTTCCGATATCACCCAGCCCCCCCCCCAGCCCCCCCCAAAAGCCCTGGGGACCAGAACTGGCTTGTAGGCCAGTGGTTCAGCACCCTCTTAAATAAGCTGTAAAAAAGAAGTAACTACTCAGAATCTCATCTTTGCCACATCTTGATTCTTATACCTCCAGATTTGACATGAACTCACTTGAGTGAAGAAACTGGAAGATAATCATCCGAGGCATGACTTTGCAACTGAAAAAGAGATCTGAAACCGCCTCCTTTGCCAAATACAAATTTGACAAAATGAAGCATACATCCAGATTTTTTGGTTTGGGGCGCTGCTAACTTGTCTGCCAGTGTGAATGAAGGGAGGCTGAAAAAACCAGCATTTGGTTTGAGTTTTTTTCTCCTCTTAATTTGGTCTTAGTGCCTTAAGACTAATTGGCCTTTCAACATTGGAATTCCTCTTACAGCTGTGTAAAAGAGGGGATTTTTCCTGGCGCAGCTTTTCAGATTCTTCCAACCCTTGACTATAATGAGCTGTATTTGCTGAAATTTCTTCTTCATCATCATCAACATGAAAAAGGACAAGGTGTTAAAAGTACACAAGCACACACAGCGAAAGGGCCTTTCATTTTTTTAAAAAATGATATTTATTGAGAATTTTTTTTTTAATTACACAAAAGAAAAAAACAAGACAAAAAAAGTAAAAGTAAAAGTAAAACCATCATTCTCCAATTCTCCACTTTCAATACCTTCTTTCCTTGACCACCTCCTCCTCCCTTTTCCTGTATCCTGATTTATAATAATCACAGCAAATCCTTTCCATAATTCATAGTATTCTGTCATCACATTACCTTAATCTATTTTCATCTTATCTTATATATATATATATATATATATAAAAATACCTTCAAGTTTAGAACTTAAATCTTAATTTTTACCAACTTCTCCTAACCATAACATTCTTACCTAATTCTTTAGACATTTTTATAAGAGCCAAATAATTTCATTTCAACATTTTCCTAACATTCATCAATTTTATAAAACAGTCCTAATGATAAAAATAGAAAAATAAGCAATCCAATCTTCATCTAGCGTCCCTTCCTCCTGGCCCCGGGTTTTGTCAGTCCTTTTTATCCTATTAATCTAGCACATTAACCTGGCAATCTTATATCCGAGGCCCTCAAGTCTCTTCCATGTCCCTTCCGCAGCTCTTCTTCAGTTTCATAGCCAATCATGAAAGCTGCATAGTGCGAGATTTGATACTGATAGCACACAAGTGATTTCTTGATACAGATCCTAGTCATTTCTGAGTGGCATTGCCCCTCAGCTTGGAAATGTTCCAGTCCCCCAGCCTTTCAAATCACATTTCCCAGCACAAAACAGACTCCGCTAACCCAGAAATAATACCTCGGGTTAAGAACTTTGCTTCAGGATGAGAACAGAAATCGTGCTGCAGCGGCGGCGCACCGGCAGCAGGAGGCCCCATTAGCTAAAGTGGTGCTTCAGGTTAAGAACAGTTTCAGGTTAAGAACAGACCTCCAGAATGAATTAAGTACTTAACCCGAGGTACCACTGTATTCAAAAAGTGAACTCCTGTTCATGTGGAGGAAGCCTAAAAGACCATTAACTGTTAATAACTTATTCTCAAATTGCCCCCATTAAAAATCAAATTGCCCCCTGTGGGGAGTGTGCCCCACAATCGGAACCACAGGATTAGAGTTTGAAATTTGTCTTATGCAGTGCTATTTTTCAGATTGTCTCTGGTCTTATGGGCTGTAGCCACAATTACTGGGTTTGTATGGTTTAAATGGACTGGTGAAACTAAATTTAATTGGGTTTATGTGCACACTCAAGCATGTGAGAAATGGATTATTTTAGATTTAAAAAAATCTTTTTTAGAAATCTATTGTAGTACAGTGAATATTCTACATTTTGATGCATGTGGACATTAACTACAAATAATAGCCCCAGAAAAGTTTGGTGAATGTTTGAGAACTCAGATACCCAGTAGCGAATGCTTATAGCCTTCTAACTATGCCTTAACATCTGTGATGGGTCTGGAAGCCTTTCGCAAGGAATACCTCTGCTCACTCAGAGATATATTTACAAGGTACAGAACATAGCTTCATGCGTCCAAATCCTTGGTAGCAGATCCAGGAAGTGGGAGCTTTTGGCTCCTCCTCCAGCAGAGGGACATGGGTGGCGCTGTGGGTTAAACCACAGAGCCTAGGACTTGCCGATCAGAAGGTTGGCTGTTCGAATCCCCACGACGGGGTGAGCTCTCGTTGCTCGGTCCCTGCTCATGCCAACCTAGCAGTTCGAAAGCACCTCAAAGTGCAAGTAGATAAATAGGTACCACTCCAGCAGGAAGGTAAACGGCCTTTCCGTGCGCTGCTCTGGTTCGCCAGAAGCGGCTTAGCCATGCTGGCCACATGACCCGGAAGCTGTACGCCGGCTCCCTCGGCCAATAAAGCGAGATGAGCGCCGCAACCCCAGCGTAGGTCACAACTGGACCTAATGGTCAGGGGTCCCTTTACCCTTTACCTTTACCAGCAGAGGAGCTTGGGAAGCCCCAAACGCCTCCTTTGTTCCCTATGTTTTTAACCCCCTCCTGTCCTGTGCTGAAGGAATGAGCATCGAATCTCCCTCTGTCCCTGAACTGGTAGAGTGGTGTTGATGCTCTCCAGCATCCGGGAGCATCTTTGCTGCTTGAGTTCCTTCAGCTTCCTTGTCCTCCTGTCTTTTCTAAAGGCTCCTGTTCCTCCCCCTCCCTCAGCTCCGGGGCATTCCCTGGCAGCCCCATGACAACATCTGAACCTACCTTATTGGTCATTGGTTCACCAGCTCTCGGCCAGAACATCTAAGACATACAACAATGAAACATGGCACAGCATCACTGTACAAAGCAGGAGGATGAATGTTCAGGAAGGCGTCATGACAGGAAGAGGAGAGCTGGTCATAGGGGACACCACTGCCATCGGCACCCCCAACATCAGGCACAACCTAACATGCAGCCCAACCCTTTGTTCCAACAGATGTTGGCTGCTGTTCTCACTGCGAAGGCAGATGGATTCAGTATGAAGGCCTGGAGGCACTGCTAATGACCTCATTACCACGAGACATATTAAAACCATTTCAATCGCAATTGGTGCACGACGTTCTGCCTTAAATAGACAGACCCCAAAAACGTTAAGTGACTAGGGATCATGAGAGGTACACAGTGGTTCATGACGTGAAGACACCCCATGGAATAAGTCTCAGTGCAATGGGATTGAGGAAGCAAAAATAAACATGTGAATGAGTGAGAGAGTCATGATTTTCATGCTCAACAACAATTCAGCTTCCCCCCCAAACCCCACACAGAGTACTAAGAACCACCCTGGAAATGTATGTCACGCATACATTTATTATAGCTTTCTGGCTGGTAAAGAAGCCATTTAATCTCTCACTGGGTGAAATGAAACGTTGCATGACTGGCTTGCGTCTCCTACTCCTTTCCTTTACAGAAAGGCAATTTTGGCCCGATACATTTTGTACTTCAGTGTGTATCAGATTCCTCTGCGTGATTATATACTTAATGTGTCACACAGGCTAGCGGCAACACAAAAGCCACCGGGAGGTTTCTGTAAGCGGTTCTTTACATTAGAGGCCATGAGAATGTACTGTGGGATAGCTTATTTTGTCAACGCAAGGGAAGCAGCAATACAGTAAATGTGAAAAGCATTTGCCGCAGTTGTTCAGGGATCTTGAGCCTATTTTCCCACTACTGTTTTATTAGCACAGATATATACTTTGCTGCAATTACTGGCATATTTCCCTCTGTGCACACACAACAGCTCCTTAAAGGAAAACAGCTGATAATCTTTCCCTCCCTGCTTCCAACTGAATTGAACCCTCTGGAAGCTATAGTTAGATACATGCTTGAAGCCCATACTCAAGCAAAGCTGGTGAGATTCAGAAATTCAGAAGGAATTGCTTGCTGCTAGAACAGAGCATAGCCTACAAAGGTTCTCTCAGGTTCCCTTTAGGAACACACAAAGACCAGGGTTGGGTTATGGGGTGGCATGTCAGTTGCACTCCTCCCCATTTCTTCCCCTTTGAAAGATTTGGGGGACAGGTTGAGCAGATGCCCAAGGTTGGACTGGATAAAAAGGTAAAGGGACCCCTGACCATTAGGTCCAGTCGTGACCGACTCTAGGGTTGCAGCGCTCATCTCGCTTTATTAGCCGAGGGAGCTTCCGGGTCATGTGGCCAGCATGACAAAGCCGCTTCTGGCGAACCAGAGCAGCGCACGGAAATGCTGTTTGCCTTCCCGCCGGAGTGGTACCTATTTACCTACTTGCACTTTGACGTGCTTTCGAACTGCTAGGTTGGCAGGAGCAGGGACCGAACAATGGGAGCTCACCCCGTCACGGGGATTTGAACTGCCAACCTTCTGATCGGCAAGTCCTAGGCTCTGTGGTTTAACCCACAGTGCCACCTGTGTCCCTATCTCTAGTCAAATTCAGTTGAGGTCCTGTGCTTTTGTTGTTTTTGGGTAGGTAGTGGTTGTGTTATGTATTTGTATTTACACCTTTCCCCACTATTGTTTTAATTAAAGTAACACAACTGTTTAAAAGCTAAAAGCAAAAGCATGTAAAATCAGAAAAAGAAGACAAATAAAGGAAAGGAAACAGGGGAAGAGCCTAGGGAAGAAGGAATGTGAAAAGGGCCAACACTACCATTAGGCAGAGTGAGGCAGTTGCCTCAGGTGGCACATTTTGAGTGTCATGATGGGGCAGCAAATCGCTAGCTTATTTTATTCATTACTGCATTTTTATTGCTCTGGAGATGGAGAGGTGCCTTGTGGGTAGGGATGAGCGAATTTCTCAAATTTGGTTTCTTTTGATTTCTTATTTTTCCTGTCTTAAGTTCTGTACATTTCCACATTAGTTTGCAATTAAATAATAAAAATAGTAAAAATTCCTCATGGGAATTCAGCAATGTTTTAGTGCAGATTTCTTCAAATGTAAACATTTTTGTTTGCAGTTTTGAGTATTATACACACATTTGCAAAGTGGTTTTCATTGATATGATGCATTCTTTTGTATGGTATTTTCACTCATATGTGCGTTGGTATGGAAACTCTATGCATTACACGGCTGAAGAACTGCGCTGCGAAATTCCAAGTAGTGTGACTTTCAAAGGATGGCAATATTTCAATTCACATATTGTTTCAGAAGCTGCAAGTTAGGTAGCCTTGCCTGTGAATGCAAACTAAAACTATTTTCTCCCCCATCCCTACCTACTGGGATGTGTGCTTTGTGCATCAAAATAACTTGGCCAACCTTGAGTACTCTGCACCCTGACTCTGTTCCTCTCTCTGTAGCATTAGTGCTGTGA